CAGGTATAAAAATGCCACCAACTTACAATAGGGGCTCAATCAGTCAATGTAAAAAAAATGTGATTCTGCCGTCTTTTGGGTTTTAATGATGCTTCATTTTGTCTCTGCAGATTCTTCGCAACATGGAGAAATCCTACAGATGTGAGGAGTGCAGCAAGCAGTTCAGTCGGCTGGATCATCTGAAGTCTCACATGAAAACTCACACTGGTGAGAAACCCTACAGATGTGAGGAGTGCAGCAAGCAGTTCAGTCGGCTGGAGCATCTGGAGAAACACATGCGGACTCACACTGGTGAGAAACCCTACAGATGTGAGGAGTGCAGCAGGCAGTTCAGTCGGCCGGATAGTCTGAAGTCTCACATGAAAACTCACACCGGTGAGAAACGCTACAGATGTGAGGAGTGCAGCAGGCAGTTCAGTCGGCTGGATCATCTGAAGTCTCACATGAAAACTCACACTGGTCAGAAACCCTACAGGTGTGAGGAGTGCAGCAAGCAGTTCAGTCGGCTGGATCATCTGAAGTCTCACATTAAAACTCACACTGGTGAGAAGTCCTACAGATGTGAGGAGTGCAGCAAGCAGTTCAGTCTGCTGGGTGATTTAAAGGACCACATCCGAACTCACACTGGTGAGAAACCTTACAGATGTGAGGAGTGCAGCAGGCAGTTCAGTCGGCTGGGTAGTCTGAAGAAACACATCCGAACTCACACTGGTGAGAAACCCTACAGATGTGAGGAGTGCAGCAGGCAGTTCAGTCGGCTGGATAGTCTGAAGTCTCACATGAAAACTCACACCGGTGAGAAACCCTACAGATGTGAGGAGTGCAGCAAGCAGTTTAGTCTGCTGGGTAATCTGAAGTCTCACATTAAAACTCACACTGGTGAGAAACCCTACAGATGTGAGGAGTGCAGCAAGCAGTTCAGTCGGCTGGATCATCTGAAGAGACACATAAAAACTCACACTGGTTAAAAAAACTTTAAAGATGTGAGGAGTGCAGCAAGCAGTTCAGTCGGCTGGATCATCTGAAGAGACACATAAAAACTCACACTGGTTAAAAAAACTTTAAAGATGTGAGGAGTGCAGCAAGCAGTTACGTTAACTACAAAGGTTCAGTTGACAAAATTCGAAGCAGTTGCTTGAAATGTTTAGTTGACAAAATAAAGTTGGTTAAGTTAAAATAAAGTTAAATTTAGTTGATAAATCCTACTAGGTTGAAACCCTACAGATGTGAGGAGTGCAGCAAGCAGTTTAGTCAGCTGGTTAATCTGAAGAGACACATAAAAACTCACACTGGTGAGAAACCCTACAGATGTGAGGAGTGCAGCAGGCAGTTCAGTCGGCTGGATCATCTGAAGAGACACATAAAAACTCACACTGGTGAAAAAAACTTTAAAGATGTGAGGAGTGCAGCAAGCAGTTACGTTAACTACAAAGGTTCAGTTGACAAAATTCGAAGCAGTTGCTTGAAATGTTTAGTTGACAAAATAAAGTTGGTTAAGTTAAAATAAAGTTAAATT